AGTCAAGGCCACGCTCTTGCAAAAATATGAGCACCATTGTGTTGTCTAACCAGAAAAATATGTTTTGTTAACATAGGATGAGTCGGTGTGGAGATGGTATTGGTCTCTGTCCACAAGCTGAAACTTCAACTTGTGGAAGTTTCACATTTAACACATTGTTTTTACATTTAATGGAGCAAAAATGGCTGCATATTGCTTTGAGTGCACAATAGTTTGCAGTGTTTTTTATACGTTTCTAATAGTTATTAATGTTTTTCTATCAGCCCAATTTTTAAATCGAACAAGGGCACAAATTAACATGTTTTAACACATTTAAAACTTCTGTGTCTCTGTAATTAATAGAAGACTTAATATGTATGAAAGAAGAAAAAAAAAACCTTGTTAAATTCTAAAGCATACACTCTTTGAAATGCTGCTTTACCAACATGTAACACTTTATTTGAAGGGGGTTGAATAAGACTGACATGACACTTTCATAAACATGACATAACACCTGTCATGAACATGAATAAGCCTTCATGAATATTTATGACTGTTGTCATAAAGCGTCATTCGGTAAATTATGACACTTTTAATACAAAGTTGACATTATTCAAAATGTCTTTGTTATGACAACTTGACATTAACCAAGAAATCATTACTGTTTAAACTTTACCTTTAATAAAATAAAGTTACCTAATTTTTAAAGTGCAATCAGTATCAGTAATACTTTTATAACAAATTTATATCAGTAATGATTTCTTGGTTAATATCAAGTTGCCATAACAAAGACATTTTGAATAATGTCAACTTTGTATTAAAAGTGTCATAATTAACTGAATGACGCTTTATGACAGTCATAAATATTCATGAAGGCTTATTCATGTTTATGACATGTGTTATGTCATGTTTAAGACAGTGTCATGTCAGTCTTATTCATCCCCCTTCAAATAAAGTGTTACCCAAACATGTAAAATATTAAATCAAAGGAGCAGAAGCCCTTGATCGACCAACGACAATTAAATGAAATGGACGTAATACCACCACAAAAAAGTCACACTATTATGCAGTCACTATCCAATAGGAGACACATACCTATTTGCTCAATTAAGTTCAGTTGGTGTCTTTCTTTATTGGCCAGGCAATGTGTTAAAAACAACAGCATATAAGTTTTTACGTGTTAGTGATGTTCTACTGTAATCAAATGCACCTAAGTTAAAGAAAATTGTCATTAATTAAGGAGAATAAATAAAACAGGTATGGTTGCTGTTTTGCTCTCTGAGACATTAATGTGAGTTAATGGCATTTAGTTTGATATCATGGAAACATCACAACATGTTTTTTGAAGTAAAAAAAACAACAACTGACGGTTCAGCAACGGGCCTTACAGAATGTCAAACCCCTATTAATAAAACCCTACTGTGTGATACAACATGACATTATCTTTCACTTGACCTCAAACAGTCAATTTTGCATAATGGTGACCCACATGAAAACATGAATAATTCATGCAAATTCACTAAAACTCACTCAGTGCTGCATTCTTGGAGCATTAGCCTTGCATGTTGCTTCCACATCCATGGAAACTTCAACAATCAAATTCGACAAACAACAAGACAATTTGACAAATTTTAAGGCGTAATTCTAGACTTTAGTTTTCATCTCTTCTTCTCTCTTACTACTTGTTATGTTGATAATCAGTTCTAGTGATACTTGGAACAGAGCGTGCTGGCAGTGTCCTCTGCATTACATTATTCCCCTCTTGTTTGATCAAAATAAATTTCATGCATGTTTTGTTGTTTTTGTGTTTGAACAGGAGGCAAGATTTTTGCTTTCACCAAATCTCTGACATTTTCAAAATTTGGAACAGCTGTGAAGCCACGAGAAAGATGATGGTGTCTGAACAAACAAGCGCATCAGTCACAAAAGCGATCAGCACGAGGGCTTGGCCAACTAAGCCATTTGTATTTGAGAGGAGCAGCTGTATTTTTAAACAGAGGAAAAACAAAAAAAAAAAAAAAGACAGCAGTCTCCCTCATCTGTCATTTAATTTCAAGCCCAAGCAGTGTTTGAAAAATTGATTTCCACACATTCACAAATTTTTAGTTTGTTTTAATTAGAAATCCAACATAACAAAAAGAAACAAAAATGATGCTTAAAAAAAATGAAGCAATAGGTTTTTTTCTATTTTCCTTGACGGGAAAAAAAAGAGCAGAAAGTGAACCCTAAATATACAAAACAAACCACATGGATTATATTTCTTTGACTTGTATGAATGATGTACTTGGATCTGAGTGGACATGTGTGTGGAAAAAACACACATATAGCCCCTTCTATATGTGTAAAGCAGCATAATGTCAGCTAAAGCAGAGCAGAGACTACATGACTGAAAGGTGCCACAGAAAAATGACCTATGCAGTTTCTACACAGACGCGGGGAGGGCTGATGGTCACCACCATCTTGTTTGCCAATATATACAGGGAACAAATGGATGGCTACCCATGGTTTCATAGAAAATTACAATTTCATTCAATAAGGTAAAATTGTTCTGTAAATCTAAAAGGCGTTGTGTGAAAAAGTAATTGTGTCTTCTTATTAAACTGTGAATTAAGTGTGATTGGAAAGCTGAATTCATTTTAGTAGCCTCACCTGACAACAGCCAGAATGACGATACTAGAAAACATAACACTGCCATGTAATTAGAGCTTCTCTGTCAACATGAAAACGGCTAACGCATCTCAAATAGGGAAACAGACCACACCCAAATTTAGACATCTATCAGTCTGGAAGGATAATGAAGCCATTTCTACTTTGCAAGCCCGCAAACATGACCCAGGAGCAAAGCACCGTCTCACTCAAGAAGACACAAAATACTTCATGTGCCTCAGTTAAGGTCAGGGTTCATGATTCAGTTTGTTAAGAAAGAGACCGGGTTAAAATGACATCCATAAAGCTAAAGCAAGAGTCTACTGTTGACCAAAAAACAGCAAAAAAGGCCCTTCTCGCATTTCCCAAAAACAATCCTAAAGATCCACAAGATGATTGTGAAAATATTCTGAAGACTAGCATGATAAAAGTGAACATTTTCTGGATTGGAAATGATACAGCATTCCAGAAAATTAATAGTCACTAGCCAGGTGATAAAGTCATGATCTCAGTCTGCTTTGCTGCTTTAGGATCTGGATAACTGGCCGTAATTGATGGAGTTATGATGAAGCTGTTCTCTAGCAGAAAATCCTGAATGAGACTGTCTAACCATTAATTTGTGAAGAAATAAAGGTTTTGGAGTAGATTTGCCAAAGTTCATTCTGATTGAGATGCAGTAAGATGACCTTAAACAGGCTCTTCATCCACACAAACATGCAACATGGCCAAATTAAAACAGATGACAAAAGATTTTTTTGCTGCCACGTTTGACCAGCCGTTAGGTTTAGAGAAAATGACATTTCTACATAGGCTTCGGGTAAATTTACAGAGCTTAATAAACTCAGTCATAATTTGAAAACTGCATTTTGCATTTAGTCAAGTCATTTGATGCTTGACATTAAAATTTGCTAGATCATTTGAAACAATTAGGCGTAACAAAATGCAGAAATAGAGGAATTTGATGAAGGTGTAAATAGATTCACAAAACTGTAAATGGGTGTGGAAAACCGCAAAATGTTTCAATGGGGTTTAACTGAAGTGAAAATTTTTGCATCACGTGACATCGTAGGCCATTAAGATGAGTGAGTGTGCAAATGTCACTTCATTAGAAAGAGGAGGGGCAGGAGAAGAGGTCTCCTGCAGTAGTTCATAGAATTTCATTACAAGCCATTTAAAAGCACAAAGTAGGCCCCACACTGCGGAACAAAGAGAGAAATGGACTGCTCCTAACACTAGCTAGGGACACCGTGCTCCATATTCTTTTTTTATAAATTTATGCTTCCTGTTCTCTTCTCCCTCTCTCCCTGGAAAGAGTGATAAGGACATAGATTTCTTAATCTGTTTTATGCACAAGAGCTGCGGCTGTAGTGCACTGCTGAGCAGCACAAACGGCTCCTACTTTCCCCAAACTTGCAGTATTTTTTTATTTTTTTTTTCCCAGACAAGGGAGAGAACCAGAATCTCAAGGGAGCCAAAACTCACAAGGCAAACAATACGGCTGCAGAGCTTTATTGCACACATGGTAGCAGAGGTAGCAGGGGGCTGTGAGAATCACCCCGTTTCCCTCTTTTTCACTCTACTGCTTTCTGCGCCCATTTTCTTTCTCTCCTACATCTCTCTCTCTCTCTCTCTCTCTCTCTCTCTCTCTCTCTCTCTCTCTAGCTCTCTCTCTCTCTCTCTCTCCCTTTCAGCATACTGGATCAGTTCAGCTCCCGCACTGCAGTGTGAAAGATTTTTTTTCATAATTTCAGGACATTGGAAACTGCATCTATAGGGGTGGTCCTATGCCTTTAACTTCTCCTTCTGTGTAACATACAATAAAGCTTTCACATGGTAAAAAAAATTTAAATAAAAAGAAAGTATAGTTTGCCAAAACCTTCTATTTTACAACAGTGCCTTGCAAAAATATTCGTAGACTCTGTACAAAACAATGGTTGCATTGTTTTAACATGCCCTATCCTTCTGAACTTTTTGAACTTTGAACTTGAACTGAACCTTTTGACACTTTGTCACATTACTTCTAGAAAACATCTGTGTATATCGATGGAATTTATGTAATCATAAATTAAAAAAATTCAGCATAACTGTGAAATGGAAAATGATTACATATTTTTATTATTATTATTATTATTATTTATGGTTTTTACAAATAAAAATCGGAAAAGTTCTGCACGCATTAGTCTTCAGGCCTCTTTGCTACGATGCCCTGAAATACATTCCATCGTAACCACTTGCCTTTAGAAGTCACCTAATTAGTGAATCCAATTCATTTGCTTTTGATTTGCTTTAAGATAAAGCTTTTCTGTGAAGGCTCAGAGGTTTGTTAGAGAGTAAAAGAAACAGCGTCTTGAAGATAAAGGAAGACAGCAGGCAGGTCAAGAAAGAAGCTAGTAAGAAGTTTATAGGAGTTTCAGGTTATGTTTTCCCATGCGCTGCACATCTCAAAGAGGACGGTTCAGTCATGAATCAAGTAGAAGTAAAAGACAGCTCTCACCCACTCAATCTAACAGTCCTGGTAACAAGGACATTATGAATAGAGGCAACAGAGAGCCTTAAAGTAACTCAGAAGGAATTGCAGAGACCCATAACTTTAGAAAACTACCATGCAAAAAACATAAAATAAAATCTGATCTTCATGCAAAAGGAAAAACCATTGTCGAAAGCCATAAAAAGCTCCATTTGTAGAGGGCACAGCAAATCTCATCAGGTTTCACCAGAATGTAACTTTAAAACGTATGTAACGCACGATGTGACAGATAACTAACATTGGACATCATTCTGGACACAATATTTCCTGTAAAAGATGGCAGTGGCTGCATTGTACAGTAATGATATTGTTTTCTCTACTGGGGATAGGATAACTGATCAGAGCTGATGGAGCTACATAACAAGCAACAGAACTACATAACCCATCAGCAGCAGCATGTTAGCTGCTAGATAAAAATACAAGCAAAGAAAGATTCTCTGGATCACCCAAATGGCACACAACTTTATATTTTTGTGTGTAGCATTTGCATCACTGCAACTCAGCACAGTGGTCAGATGCAGATTGACTTTTTCTTTTTAAAGCAAACTAAAGATAATGTTGCATTTTACTACAATAAAGGAGGTGTATACCACACACAAAAATGCAATACTACTAAGTAGCTCTTTGTCTCCTCCTACTCTTTTGTCTTTTCATAACACTCGCAGTTTTAGATGATTAAACATATGTTCATTTTCTTTATAAGGCACTGTTTTCAGAACCTCCTTCTGTTGATTCAATCTTCTGTCACACCTTCCTAAGCTGTTGGTCTTTGCTTGCCCCAGTTATCAATGCTGCTCTTCAAAAGCAGAATTCCTCTTGTCTTTCCTCTCCATTTATAATGGGCTGCAATTCCAAATCAAAGTCTAAGCCAATTTTCACTCAAATAACCACAAAACAAATCAGCAAACAATCCATGCAGCAGATGATAACATCACACAGTCCGTGACATGCACACACAAGTGCACATAAATGCATACAGATCCACACTGACAGCACGTTTCCTCCAATGTGCAGTGCAGACAAATACCACCAGAGGCCAAAACACAACATAAGGTAAGTAAAACAAAATAAAAAAAAGGTAAGTAAAGAGAAGGAGAAAACATCACACCACACCAAGTTTGAAAAAAGATCCCAATTTTAGATTGCCCCATTATCAATTTTACTCCAAATGTTACCCAGCGCAGCTGCAGACAATTAACAGCTGTCCTGAATTCAGAGTTGTCACAGGACCCTGCTGACGCTCTTCTAATAGGATTATGGTATCTCATATCTCCTGAAGAATTAACAGCAGCAGTATCATGGCAATGTCATGTCAGACGGCAGATATAGAAATAAACATCAAGACAGCTGTGGTAATAAGTGTACGCTGCTGACATAAAAATCCACTAGAAAGTAATTAAATAAAAAAATGACGGGAAGTAAAGAGAGCAGGCACAGTTCAAAAAACTTGCTTGTATAGGCATTGTAGTTATCAAGCTACAATTTCCTCATAGGATATCGAGAATGCAATATGTATTCCATAAATGCTTTCACTTGAGCAACATCCACATAGGAAATGGCATATATGCTTTTGCTTAAGAAACTGCTATAGAAAAATGTGGGGTCAAATAGAATCTCAAGAAATAAACCACAGATGTATTAAGTGAAAGTAAAATAACTTGAATTTCACCACATCTGTACACTTTGGACTCATGGTCCAGTGTAAAACTACCAGTTTCACAATGAGCTTATTTTCAGGACATGGCGGGAAGTGTTTTTACTCATGGGTTTATATCATAGCATATTCTTATTCTCGAAGAAATATGAGCAACCTTCACAGCCAAGTGGCCAACATATGTTCAAGCAGAATAACAAGAACACGTGAAAAAGTCCTGGTGTAAAGCTCAATGCTCATCTGTGTAATCATTTATTGATTGAACAATGGGGAGGGTAAAAAGGAAATAAAATCATTAACAATTGCCATGTTTTATTTATCTGTTAATTTCAGAGTGGGTTGGAGTTGGTAAGGGTTTAGGTTAACAGAGTAATACATCATGCTTTTAATCAAACTGAGTGCACACTAAAACTGTTTATGGCATAATCTGACCTTGTATTCATGGAGACTAAGGTTTTGTGTGTTTTCTGTGTGTGAATGTGTGGAAGTGCAGAAAAACAAGACAAATTAGGTGGAGCAGATTATCACATTTCAGCACCGTAACATCCTCTGAAAGCAATAAAAAGAAAAGAGGCCTGACATTATACGGCCACACTTTTGAAGAATTGATATGAATGTGTCATTTGCTGGTCTGATCAGCAGCACTTGCCAAAAATAAATGAACAATGAAGGCGATGTGAGATAAAATGCTCAATTTAATGCAAGCTTGCAGACTGAATCACTGATAACCGATACCGGAGATGACTCATCAACAATACCTCAACATGTTTTTAGAAAATAAAATTTGGTTTGCTACATTTTAGTTTGTGTATGTTGACATATATTAGGCAATATAACACTATATTTCCAAATAAGCATCACTTACTTAATTCACTGAAATCAAAGCAAAGGGATTAAACAAAATCTGAATCCATCTCCCAATTAACACACAGTGAAGGTGTCGGTATACCTTAGTGTAAAATACCTGTGATATGTTTTTTGTGATCCAAAACAACTGAGACCCAGATCAATCATTTGAGAACATTTTAAAGCTTGCATGTAACCTATTTCACATGCAACTCAAATGAAAGTGTGGTCAGCCTCTCATTTGCGGGGTTCTGGCTGGCCACCCTATACAACCTCATCTTAAATAGGTATCGGTACACACCTGTCACCATTAGAGCGCCTCTTCTTAACTATGACATAAATTCAGTCATCCTAGTAAGTTTTTTCTGACATTTTCTGTGCTGCATCTCAGAGCAAACACAATAATCTGCAGAGTTTCAAAGGCATCAAAGGGATCTCTTTGTCAAAAGGTGCCAATCAGGGGACGTGCACAAAATGCTTTATAAGGCATTATGTATACTACACATCGGGTGTAGAAAATATCTACCAACATTGTCATTATCAAGAACTAGATTTTCCTCCAAAGGTGATGATATTACAATGAAAACTGGCCAGGGAGGCTGTCATGAGGAGTGCAGGGACGGACGTCTGACAAGTACTGATATATCTATCTGGGCCTGGGGTACAATGGTAAGACAGAAAAAAAACATAAGCATTTTCATGTATGAAAAGCCTTCAAGCCTAATCATGAGAAAATGTGTTATGGTCTTGTCAAACCAGTGTTGAGCTTTAGAACCATAATCCCAAAATGTTTGCTTGAGACTAAAACAACATTACACATCACCAGAAGAACTTGATACATAAACTGAAGCACGGTGGTGTCAACATCATACTGTGGGACTGATGTTCTGCAGCCGGATATGGGGGATTTAATCAATGTGAAGGACACCATGAACATTCCCAACTATCAATGTTTTCACATCTGAATTCAGTTTTCTGCTAGAAAACTGAATTCAGCTTTTAGCACACCAACTCATACTGCATTTCAAAATCCACAAAATAACGACTTCTCCAGAAACAAATTACTTTTTTTCACAGAAAGGTCTACCAACAACTAAGAACTCATTTTGATTGGAAACCTGTGGGGTGGCTACAGTGGGCTGAACAGAAGAGATGCCTTCACAGTCGAACAAGTCTAGAGTATCGCAAAGACGAGCGACCAAATATTTCCAAATAAATATTTACTATGGATATTCATTCCCACCGAAATAAACGGAGTTATGTAATAATGTCAGGTTGTGTTGGTTAAAAGTCACATTAAGGGTGGAACAAAATTCTCAAAGAATTTATATTGGTCTCAGTGGTTTCATCACCAAACACCGGCATTTTAACATGGATGTGCAAACTTTTTAGATTCACTGTACTTACAAGGTTTAGGATGACAAGACTACTTCACATCTCTCCCCCAAAAAATGTTACTATAAGAAACAAAGAGTCTAATGGTTGAAAATATTGACTTCTACTAGCAAATCAATCCATAGTTGACACAACCCTCAGCCTTTGTTTAAAATTCCCTTTTCACTGTTTGTAGAATGGAGGCTAAGAAAGGAGCCTGTGGTATACAATTAAAAATCACATAAAATTATGATTTCCTACAGTAAATTACATATTCAATTCATAGTGTAGATTTAATAAGCTAATTAGATAATATCTTCATGATGTAGTCACATGTGTATGTGTGTGTGTGTGTGTGTGTGTGTGTGTGTGTGTGTGTGTGTGTGTGTGTGTGTGCATCTGTCAACTAAACCCAATCTAGCTTATATAATGACAACATTTCTGCAATGGCAGAACACTTTATCGCCCCCCAGTGGAATGAAAGCACATAGCCAACTTGATGAGAGAGCCAAATGATGAAATGTATAAATTACAAAAGTATTTTCCAATCATGATATCGCTCACCCTTTTACTTGCATACATCAGTGATACATGTTCAGATAGCGACAGCTGTGGCATTCCTCACTTATTTGCCTTTTACTTTTTGAGATATCTTCTACAAGAGGCAGCGGCATTTACTCTACTTTTTTCTGGGTTGTGTTTCACTTTGGTTTTAGATTAAATGTGGCTAAACCCTGCAATGTACTGGACAAAATAAAGTCAAACTGCGCATTAAAATATGAAAATGAGTCCCTTTGCTAAAAAAGAAGAAAAAAAAATCAGCACCCTGTATTTATGCTTTCCATGTAGTTTAGATACATCGGATGCAAATCCCATTATGTGAATACTAACACGTTTGCATTGTCATACCTTGCACTGCTTCTTGGCCTAGCATGCTTTTTGAGTCTAGTAAAAGCTAATGGCTGACCACATCCTACACCAGATACACACCCTGTTATTCCACTCCACACATGTCCCACTGGAATTGGTATTGACACTTTCATCAATTAGATTAAAGAGTTTGTTTTTATTAAGAAGGCTATACCAGACGCATAATCACTATACATTGATTTAACATTATCTTTACAATAAAATTCTTCACTGAAATTACAGAATAAATATATGCACATTTTTTCTTCAAATCTTTGTGAAAGAGAAAACATTAAAAGTGCTCACTACAAAGCTGTTAGTGGACTGCAATGGGAACTCCAGAAGCAATGAGAAGGGAAGAGGGGGTGGGGCCATAACAAAGAGTGGGGAAATATTCAGAAAACCCTTTTCAGTATGGTCTCGTAATAATATTCACAAATGTTTTACCATCCCTGTATTGGCGCTTCCTTTTTCTTTACAAGAAGCACCCTGATATAGACATAAGTCTTCATTTATAGTAATAACCATATTAATAAGATATAAAAAATTAAATAGAACACTGAACCATAAATGTGTTGCGGTATCTCTGTTCATAGAGTGACGTGATAGTTCTGAGTAAATCCTCTCACTTCCTGCACTGAAGCGAGTGCATGCAGCAAACTGCAGTTCAGTTTGAATATAAGTTTTTTTTTGTTTTTTTTTAACTCTTTTGATAATGTCCTACAAAGAAAAAAATGTGCACAGATTCCAGGTGTTTGTACATCCTAGTTGAATAATAAGAGAGGAAAAAGAAAAAAAAGAAAAAGAAAAAAAAAGTAAGGGAGACGTCCAGCTCCCGTTTGTCCTCATGGTAACTAGTAGCACATCATGTTAGCTCCATACAAATGGATTTTAGTGACAGATGTAACATGGTTCATGTGTTTTATTTCCCAGAGCCCCATTTTTTTCTCCTTTGCTTTCTTCAGGGCATATAGAGATATTTATATATTATAAAAATAACGGTTGACGTTGCTGGCTACTCTGAAAAAAAGGCACTTAATTGAAACATCTGAGAATGACCTCTCCTCAAAGGTGATTTAAGTGGGAGTGGGGGCTTTGTGACTGTTTAATTACACATATTTATTTTAATTCATGCTGTTTTATCAAATTTTGCTTGAAGATTGGTCTAAGTAATTTTGTCTGTCAGGTGGCATAGTGAAAATGACAAAATCATGTTGGGGTTTTTTTGTTGTTCTTTTCTACCGGGCTACAAAGTTATTAAAAACGGTAGGATTTTTCCAAGACTTCGAGGTAATCTGGCTTGGTTTGAAGTTTGGCCCTTAACTCGAGGTAATCACTTTGGGAGGGATCATGGTAGCAGCCTTTCCCGGCTGTGAAAAGCAACGTCTCCTTCAGCCGTGCGTCCTGCTGTAAATCTGGGTACTGCATGCCTGGTGGATGCGCATGTGCAACATGCATGTCCTTTAATTTGGGCACTGTCCCATACAAACAGTCTACAAAGCCCACTGTTGGCGTGGGCCTCTGACTGTCAATCACTGTGGGGCAGAGCCCTCCATTCTCATGAAATCCTGAAATGTCCGCTGTGGTGTGGTTGACCGTAACAATAGTGTTGAGCTGAGAGTTGGAGACCGCCAAGGTCCACTCTCTCTCTTTCTCCAACAAGGTTCTATAGTTACTGTTGCTACTGCTGCCATTGTCTTTCTTTTCTGAAAACTGTGCCATCTCCTCCTCAGCAATCTCTCCTTCTCTTGGCTTATAGATAGGGTTGTTACACATTTGAGTCACAGGGTGCGGGATGTAATCATAAACGTGGCCATGACCATGTGTGTGAGTAGTGTGCGAATGTGTGTGCAAACTGGGTGTTGGTTTCTCCGGCGTGCCCGGGTTGCCAGCACAGCTTTGCCTCGGCGGATCCTCAAAAATCCTGCACTGCATCTGGATCCCAGTCAGGTCCACCTCAGAACGTTTCCGGAAAGGTAGCTTCTTTCTGCGACGGAGGACAAAGGCAAAGAGCCCAGCAGTAACAAACACCGCTGAAATGAAGAGGATGAGCAGACTGAGGATGAGAACCGACAGTGGAACAGCCCCTCTCCTACTTGATTCCCCCATTTCAGAACTCCCTGTGGTGAGGTCATCCCCACCAGGCAGAGCTGGAGAGGGACCTGAAGAGTACTTCAGCTCAGGACAGATTACCTCTACCTCAAGTGAACGCAGGTCCTTTCCAAAAGCATACTCTGGTGTGTTGCAGGTGACTTCCCCCACCACAATGACGGAGGATAGCTTTTCCAGCCATTGTTTGAGAGGGATGATATCACACGAGCAATCCCAGGGATTCTGATGGAGATCGATCTGGACGATGGAAGTCAGATGCTCCAGGACACCATGAACTGGCAGGGAAACAAAGTGATTTCTGCGAAGATTAAGACGTGCAAGGTTGGTGCCAGCAAAGGCATCATTGGGTAATGACCTCAACAGGTTATTATTGAGGAAAACCAATTGCAGGTTGGGCATTAGGGAGAAAGAATGAGACTGGATCTCACGGATGACGTTGTATTCAAAGTAAAGATAGCTCAACATCTGAAGTCCACGAAACATACCAGGAGAGAGCCGCTCAATGTCATTACCATTCAAATATAAACTTTTTAAGTTTGGCAAGTTGATAAACGCACCCTCCTGGACATAGGATATCTGGTTGTTCCCTAAATGTAGTAAATCCAAACTTGAGAAGTTCCAGAAATCTGAACGGTAGATCTTCTGTATCAGGTTCCCACTGAGATACAATTTCTTGGCATTGAGGGGTCGTGGCAGAAGCTCTGAAATGTTGTGAAAGCCTTTGTCTTTGCAGTTTACTGTTAACCCAAGGTCATTGATGTGAAGGTTGCAAATACAATTAGCTGGACAGATTATTGGAATGGGTGGTCTTGTTTGGTAGCCAGCAATGGGGGGCTGGTTGAGGCCTGGATAAATGCTACGAGGAGTTGGTGGATTCTTTGTGGGCCGTCTGGTAGGCTTTTTGGTAGGCTTCGCAGGTTTGTCCCTGTACTCCACAGAAGAGGCTGTGTTGTGAAAGGGGGAGAGCATGGATGAAGGTTTAGTAGGCCAAGTGTTCTCATTGCTGAATGGCACCCGAGGAATTCCCAGCTTGGCCTCAATCTCTGCATCGGTGAGAAGAGGACAGAGCTCACTGCGTTTAATTTCCCGCAGGTCTTTTCCATGTAGGTGGAACGGGGTCTCACATGTGATCTCTCCCACCAAAGCTGTGTAAGGGATTCTCTCTAGCCATGTTTTTAACTGGACAATCTCACACACACAGTTCCAAGGGTTTTCCTCCAGCTGGATTTCCATCAAGCTCCGCCCAACATACTCCAGTGTGCCTTTATACTGCAATGTCTTTAGTCTGTTACCTCTCAAGTCCAAATGTGTTAGGGACACAGACCGGAAAAGGTAATTCGGCAGCATGGGTATGAGATTGTCATTTAATATAAGTACTCTTAATTTATGAAGGTGCCTGAATGCACCACTTTCAATCCTTTTAATGACATTGTAATCTGCTTGGAGATATTCTAGACTCTCCAGCCCCAGAAATGTGTCGTTTCGGAAAACTTCTAGTTTGTTTTCATGGAGAAACAGTCGTTTAAGTATTCCCAAGCCATTGAATGCCCCAGCGTGTATATCTTGCAAGGCGTTGTTACCCAGATTGATGGATATGGCATTGTTAAGATGGAGGAAGCTGTTGAAGTAGAGCTTCCGCATTAAGTTCCTCTGCAGGTTGAGCTTGAAGGGTCGGCTCCAAATTTGAGAGATCTGGCTGACATTTGTAAATCCTTTACTGTCACAATGGACATGGAAGATGCCTTCCTTGACCTCGCAGTCGCACGGTTCAAAGCAGGGCTCGTCGATCTCCTCCGAGTCCTCCAGCAGTGGGATTGGTGTGGTCCATCCTAAGGCTATGGTGCTCAGCAAGGTAACCCACAGCATCCTCGCTGACACCACGGCGATGAAGTTTCAGCTCCAGGGACAGAGCCACTTCACAGCACTGCAACAGAGAATGCCAGGGTAAATGAGATCGCAAGAAAAGGGAAGGCTTATGGTTAATGCTCTCACACACACACACACTTTACATGCACACAAACACACATGTACATAAACACACATGTACATAAACACACAGAAACCAAGAGAAGTTCGAGATGACAGAGACAGAAAAGGAAAAGGAAGATACAGGAAAGAGTGCATTAGTTTCAGTAGAATGGACGGCAGCTTTGAAATGAATACCTATGAATAATAGAAAGACACTGGACACCACTTTAGATCCTGCAATATTGCTGCCTTTTTAAAACAAAATATAAAGCCCTATACTCTTAAATAGATAATATGATACCAGAGAGCACAAACGGCTCTCTGCAGTCAGACACTACACTTCACTATGTAGCCTGAAACGTCATTTATTATACAGCAGATGTGCTGGTAAGGTCGCAATAAATCACAGCAGAGATGCTTATCGCTATGAATAAACGAAGGCAACAGCGGATAAGGAAGAGTACCGTCGAGGAGACACTGTCCCTTGCTTTATTTAATGCATAACAAGAATCTCCAATCCATGAGCAATCAAAGTTTAAACCATGGAAAAAAAACAGTGCAACAGAATTGTCTTTTGTGCTGAGCCCAGCCTGAACATATCTCTATTACTAATTCAAAGCTGATAAAGAGCTTGTTTTAGCCTTACATGTTAAAGTCACTGATTTATGTAACAAAAAAATAATTCATTACTATTGAATGAGCAAGTATTGTATTTTGTATTGAAATGTATTTAGATTAGGGGACCCTGTAGTTTGCCTCTTGTGTTTTACCTCCAGTTAAATCCATGATATGCAAGGGGGCACATTTTACTACAAAATGTTTTACTTTTTTTTTTTTTTTTTTTTTTTTTTTTTTTTGTTCAAATTTTAGAAAACCTGATAAATTCCGTTTTACTAGCAGAACCAGCTCTTTTTTAAAATAATAGGAACAATTCGAGACGTAAAAAGAACAGTGGGCGATTCTAACGCTTAGAAAAGTGCAGCTGTCGGGCAGCTGTGAGGGGAAAAGAAAACTAATAGCAGTTGTGATTGTGAGAATAGTGAAATGTTGTCAATTTCATCTAAAAAATTGTATTCCTCTCATGAGGACAAAAAAAAAAAAGATGTGTCTGCCAGACACTTGTGTTAATGTCCCTCTATCTGCCTTTATTTTTCTCTCTTCCCACACACTTCTCCTGCACACACGCAAAGCTTCTGAAAATCTTTGCCATTATTGCAAACTCATGTATCCACTGCGCTGTTCAGCTCAAAAATAGAGAAGCGCATATGGCCCAGGCAAAAGCGCTGCCCGTGGTGCTGAATGCAAAATCCCGGCAAATGAAAATGAAAAACGCAGGAATCCCTCAAAAAATAAAAAACAAAAAAAAAAAAAAACAAAGATCTTTACACGATGTTCATTTCATGTTGTCTCCCCGTGTCATGAGTAATCCAGCAGGATTTGATTCCGCCTCCGTGTTATAGAGATCAAAAAGCCAGATGCGATGTCAAAAAAAAAAAAAAAAAAAAGTAACAAAAAATTTCAGGACACGGAGCAAATTTGGCACCATAATAATCCCACTCGCGGTGCATCAGTTCTAGTGGTATATACGTACTTAGTTTAGCGGGATTCCAACTTCACATATCCTCCTCCTGCGGTGATGGGTCCTGTCGTTGCCCGGTGCGTCCCGCGTCTCCCGGTCCGTTGCCGGGCTGCGAGGGAGGGGGAAGAGAACGAGAAAAGGAAGGGGGTGACTGAGCCGCCTGAACGGGGAAAACACAAAGGAGGACATGGACAGAGACAGCGGGGCATTGAGGAGGGAGAGAGGAGGAGGAGATGCGCATAAGAATGAGCCCCGGATGAATTAAAAAGAAGAAGAAGTAGAAGAAGAAGAAGAAGTGCTGCTTGTCATGAATTGGCAAATTTCAACCAGCTTCCATTAAAATATATAATAAACCTTTCAACGGACATCATCGCGCTGAGTTAGTGTGGGAAAAAAAAAAATGATGCTGAACAAGTTCCGGTCTACAAGGAACGGTCTCTGATTTGGTGCCAACCCAAGGCACCCCCCACACCCACCCTCACTCAAAAAAAAAGAGAAAAAAAGAAGGGAAGACAGCAGAGCGCGTGTTGGAATACATGCCAAGCATAATGCAGGCTTTCGTCGTGACATTGGCCGTAAAATTGGGGACTAAAGCAAGAACAAAACGGGTATTGATTAGTAGGATGGATTCCTGCTCAGTTATCCTCGCTCGCTGTCGCCCTGTTTGAAGTCCGTGGCTATGCAGACATCAATAGAAGCACAGAAACACAGACACACACACACACATACTCTCACTCACAAATATCGGGTAAATACTTTCCATGATCCATACGAAATAGTCTATAACTGCTCACCTTAGTTTTGTTGAGCAATTGGAAAGCATCGGGGGAAAAAAAAAGATCACTAGTTTGAATCTGGTAAATCTCTCGTTCTCCCTTTCGCCTCCTCTTCTTCTTCTCTCTCTCCTTTTCTCTCTCGTTCTCACTCTCTCCCCTCTCTCTCTCTCTTTTCCTCTCCCCCTTTTCCTCACCCTCTCTTAGTGGCTGAACCGAAAGAGGAGAGAAAAGAAATGAAGACGTGATAAGAATGCGATCTCTCCCCCTATCTCTCTTGCTCTCCAGTGATACTCTGTCTCTCTCTCTCTCTCTCTCTCTCTCTCTCTCTCTCTCTCTCTCTCTCTCTCTCTTTCTAAGCAGTTTGTTTAAAATGCAAGTCCTCCACTTCTGCCCATCCTCTTCCTTTTCCACCACCACCACCTCCTCCTCATCCACCTCCTCCTCCTGAGCCGCCTCTCGGGCGAGCGTTCAACAACCGGGTGAGAGTGTTCTCCTGACGGCTTCAGGAGCGCGTCTCCCGTCAGCACAGCGGCAGCGGTACGGGCATGTGGATCATATCGGCCTCGACTTGGTTCCCATCCCCCCTCCCTCCCCTCGTCGTGCGTCAGAGAAAGTGGCGGACCGAGCTGGGGAGAGGGCTGCGAAGAGATGGGAGAAGCAGAGAGGAGAGAGATCTCTGGCAGTGAGAGAAAGACGGAGGGAGGGAGTGGGGAGCAACACGAGTGAAGGGGGACTGCTGCTCTATAGTTCTGGATGCTGTCGAGAGGAGGGAAGGAAGTGAAGTGAAGGGAGGAGAGCAGCGAGTGAGAGAAGCGCTCTAGCTGCGACGGCGGGAGCGTGAGTCAGTGAGAAATAAATAAGACCTGTGGATCCCAGACTGGACGCAGGACGTCTGCTTCTGTCTTTGCGTCTCTCTGTGTAATCATTTTAAATACTTGTTTCATTGGAATGACAATTATTTACTCCCGATTCTCTCTCTCTCTCTCTCTCTCTCTCTCTCTCTCCCCCTCTTTACTTTTTTTCTCCTCAGGACGCAGCCACATTTTGGGAGAGGTAGTCGCCACCTGTCACCCTTGCTTAGAAGACAAAGACGGTGGCAGCAAATGTCTACAACCAGCAGGGCAGGGACAGCAAAACTACGGAGCATTTCTGTCTTTTATTGCGTCTGCGTGTCTTCCCCAGTCTCGCCTCTAGCGGGCAGCACAAGCCCACTTTGTGAGCAGGAAGACCCTGCTGCTTTTTTTTTTTTTTTTTTTTTTTTTCAGCTTAACACAGAGGAGGGTGATTGCAGCGGAGAGTTGTAATCTTCTTACAGGATCTCTGGTTGATAACTTTAGCATGTCCTCTGTACCACATACACAAACGGAGTTTAGACTTGCATCTTTAAAACTAAGATTGCTGTAATTTGGCTACTCTGAATATCAAACGTTAATAACTTAAAACAATATTTTTAGATTGACTCAGCTAGTTTGTCCTTTTTGATAAAAGGAAACAAACAAACAAAAAAAATCCTGGCTTGTTAATATTAAACACAATGTTCATTTGTACGTATTCTAACGAGGTGGAACATTAACTTTTTCCTGACAATCACATCTCACATTTTCTGGTTTGACTTTAGTATTAGCCCTGTTACTAAAGCAGTTCAAAGTGTAGCACATCCTGAAAGAATTCCCCGCACTTCACACTTCACAATGATTGTGAACCGTTGATTTAACTGGACTTGGAAAGTCAAACACAAGTCTATAAAAGGTCCTGTAGTTAATAGTACAAAAACAAATTTATATATATATATATATATATATATATATATATATATATATATATATATATATATATATATATATATATATACTGCTTTGAAGGTGCCAGTAAGCTCAGTGGCCTCTATGATTCATAAATTGAATAAGTTTGGAATCCCCAGGACTCGATCTAGACCTGGCAGGGCATGAAAACTGAGCGATCGGGAGGTGACCAAAACCATGACGGTCACTCCATCAGAAATCCAGTGCTCCTCTGAGAGATGACAATCTTCCAAAAGGACAACCATCGCTTCAGCAAACTACCAGTAAGGCCTGTAAGTCAATCCAGATGAAAGCCTGGCGTGGCAACCTCCCGGGTGTTTGTCAAAAGGCATCTGCAGGACTCTCAGACCACTGGAAGCAACATTCTCCAGTCTGATGACACAAAGAATGAACTCTTTAGTAAATGCCAGGTGTCATGTTGGGAGGAAACAGGCATGGCTCATCAACAGGCCAATATTATCTCTAGAGTAAAATGGAGTGGTGGTAACACAGACACCACAGAACCTCACATACATTGGCTAACACAGGGCTGTAAATGCCCCTCTTGCCTTCTACGAAATAATAAAAAAAAAAGACACATTGTATTAAATCCCCCATGCTATCCCAATTCTTTCAGAAAACACAGACAAATGTCTTTTTGTGAATATTGATTTAAATTCTACCCCACAAAATGCAACTTCTGACAATAATGGTTAAACTCTAACAACTCTTAACATTTGTGTAGAACCTGTTGACTGAAGGCTTGCACAAAGATTTGTTTCGTAGTTAGACAGAAACAGTCAACTCTACACTTTTCTACTAGAGTTTTCCTATTAAATGTATTAAATTCTTCTGAAATTAATCTGCTGAGATATAAGGCAAGCGAGCAAATATGCCATTTGTAATCCCTGCTGAGATTTGTCACTTTACGCATCATGGTGGATTAAATGATTGAGCTCTGGAGACATTATCATGTGCAGGGTATATAGGACATAAATTAATGTTCTCTGCGGTTGCAACCTTAAACGCCGCTTCATAGAGCTCTGAGGGTCTAATATGTTTAAAGCTTGTACCCTTGACTTTTCTTAACTCAGAGAATCTCACTAAGTACATAAAATGACCAACATGACCCTCAAATTCAAATAAAATTTTAAAAAAAATCAGCGAATAAATAGTATGGGACCATGAATGATTTGTAAAAGGATTGAAAGTAATTTTCATTTAGGTTAAGTGGAATCAGTTCCTTTCACTATACATTTTTGCTACTTCAGGAAAAAATGTATAGGCCTTAGTCAATAAATACTTGAAGACACACAACCACGGCCTGCATACACACTCACAGGCAATCCAGTGCAGAAAGGTCAGAGGAGTGTTTGGGAGCAGCTTGTGGTCTGTAAAACTGCCATTCCTCCTCATGAAAAGCCATCATTCACTCCGTCAGTCTGTCAGCCGCTGTCTCACTGGGTGACATAAGGCCACGCCAAACCCTTCATTCAGTCACAGGACACAGGCTGCGAAGACTTTGTGCTTTAGTGCTGTTTGAAACTGACAAAGTACAAATCAGGACTAATGAGTTTGTCAGCCAGAATGTACAGTGGAAATTGATGTCACCGTGTTTGACAAATATCACACAAACGGGCATTTCCCCTATGTAAAAAAAATAAATAAATAAAATAAAATAAGTGGAGTAGGAAACTGAAAAGTTTTGACCAAAAAGGTTGAGTCATGAGAAATTGTGTTTAATGTAAGTGGAGGAAAATAAAATGTGTTCACCATAAGCTGTCATTAAAGGAAATAATAATGTGACCAGTCTTGGAGCAGGTTACCTAGAATAGCATGCAAAAATATTAGTATCCTTTTAACTTATTCACATTAAATGTCACAACAGTTTTGGGGTTTTGCATGATGAATCACAGACCGTTAGTGTCATATCGACTGCAGCTCTTATTTTTGTTTACAAATATGGCGTTAATATGTAATTCAGCACCTTTTACTTTGACACCCCTAAGCAAAATCCTGTACAACCAATTGCTCTCAGATGTCAACTACTTACAAAATTAGAGCCCATCTTGAGTTTAATTTTATCTCATTTTAGATACGGTTGTTCTGTGAAGGCTTGTGGGAGAATATGACCAAATAAACATCATCATCACTGAAGGAAAGAATCACAAACAGGCAATGATGACGCTTCAGAAAAGTTTGAGAGATGTTTGCTTTAGAAACTAATATTCCAAGCTTTAGGCATCTCAAGAAGAACCGGTCAATCCATCAGTTTGGCATGCAAAAAGTGTGGCACAACTGCAAACCCTCCAAGAGATCTCTATCAATCTACAATTAAACAGGCCAAACATTAATCGGATAAGTTCCAAAGAAGCCCAGGGAACTCTGCAGGATTTGCAAAAATCCCATAGCTGAGGTGTGGTATCTGCTGACTGAGAAATAATTAACTTCTAATGCACTGTACACATGGGAACTTTATGAAGTGAAGGTCAAAAGTACAAAGTCATTGTTGAAAGAAAGCTAAACAAAGTGAGCAGGTTTGGTTGAAGTATGATTAACGATTAACAAATGCCAAGGCAGTTATTAGTAAAGTTAGTTATACTGAATCAAAGTTGGGGAAAATATAATAGGAAAATAGATTTTATCCTCTGTCATTTACTGTTTTATGAATACCTGCCTGATGAAGTGGGATTTTATAGCACAATGGATGAAGGAGCTGGGATAACGGAGTCACAAGTTAGCATATTTATAAGGGCTGTGCAGACCTATTTTATGTGAAGAGGAAGCTAAAAATAACAATAAAATGGAACAAGCTCAGCGTTTAATCCTCTCATTGAAACAGTTTGGTGTGACTTTTAATCACAACCCACAACAAATTTTGGTAGCATCAGGTTCAGTGACCTAAATCACTGGGAACAATAAAGACCCACAAGGAAAATACAATGAAATAAACAATATTTGAATTATTTTATCCTTAAAAAAAATAGATTCTTTGATACAACTTCCCACTGTGAACTGTTCTGATGAATAAGGGAACACTTTGAGTTCTGCAGCTCCGATGAACAGAGAAGAAGTGGCGGTCACTAGCAGATGGAGACTGGTGAATGTGTCAAGTGCGCAGAGCTTTGGAAGAAAAAAAAGTGGCTGTGCTGTGTGAATGCGGCAAGAAAGATTAAAATCAACCCGGACATCTGTGGCCTTTTAAGGTCTTCACTGCACAATAAAGAGACAGTGTCTTCACACACAGCAAACAGCTCCCAAACCATGAAGGAGAAGTGGCTGACAATGATGCCCAATGAAAACCTGAACTAGAAAACAAACAAGAATAGCAATGTTGTCACTGCCGCTGATGTTGCAACCAGGAAGACTGAATAATATGTTAAGACGAAATAGAAAAATAATTTACTTATTTAAACTTCTATGTACATTTTAAAAGAGAAGAGAACGCATTCATATCAAAATTCTGAATTATATGAGTGCAAGAATGTCTAAAACGGAA